CTAACAGGCAGCAAAAACCCATCTCCACCATCAGGAGCTCTGGGGAACATGGGTTAGTACTTAGACTCTGCACCTCAGGTGAGCCCATCTCATCAGCCATAGTGACCTGACCTGCTTCTGTACTTATCCAGCTGGTTGGTGGCTGCCTATCTGATGCTATAGCTGCTGCTACGTCCAATACTGACTCCAGATCGTGACATTATACCCAAAGAATGCCTGAAGGTGCTCCTTGGATTTTAGGCCCCTCTGTGTGGCTAGGCTGTGAAAAAGACTCACATGTGATATCCCCATAATCAGGAGGAGTAGCAGAATGTGTTTTGGGAGTAATTCTAACCAAACCTATGATGCGTGTTAGAAATATTTTTATTGATTGACATCTTTGTGTAGGGCAAACTGGAACAAAACCTTCTTTATATTTGTTATGTGTGCTAATTCACCTAGTACAACTTATCACAACAAATATTCAGAAACTTCTGCTGACATTTTAGATGCTCCTTTTCTGAATGCTCCAACACCGAAAAATATACCTTTGTTTACGAGAGGGCTTGGGAGCTGTGTTTTTCATAATTAACCCTGCCTGTACTGTGCTGCCAAATCTCATGATCAGTTGTAAATTAGATTTGAAAACTGTGTTTCTTAACAAAAGGTTAAAGATTTAGAACCTAGGCTTCCTCATTGTATTTTGATGAAAGGAAGTTTAGCCTGTCCTAACCCTTTCTATTGGGACAAACGCAAACAGAACTTGTTCAGAACTGTTTGCAGTCTATCATTACACCTTCTTCTTAACTTTGACTGCATGGGTGGAAATACACTTGGTCAGGAGTACACTATATTGCCACAAGTATTGGGGCAGCCCACCAAATCATGTGATTCAGGTGTTCCAATCAGCTCCATGGCCACAGGTGTATAAAAAATCAAGCCCCTAGGCATGCAGACTGCTTCTACAAACATTTGTGATCGAATGGGTCGTTCTCAGGAGCTCAGTGACTCCAAGCGTGGTCCCGTGATAGGTTGTCACCTGTGCAATAAGTCCATCCGTGACATTTCCTGGCTACTAAATATTCCACGGTCAACTGTTAGTGGTATTATAACAAAGTGGAAGCAACTGGGAACAACAGCAACTCAGCTACCAAGTGGTAGGCCACGTCACATGACAGGGCGGGGTCAGCGTATGCTGAAGTGCACAGTGCACGAAAGTTGCCAGCTGTCTGCAGAGTCAATAGCTAAAGACCTCCAGACTTGGTGTGGCTTCAGATTAGCACAACAACAGTGTGTAGAGATCTTCATAGAATGGGTTTCCATGGCTGAGCAGCTGCATCCAAGCCTTACATCACCAAGTGCAATGCAAAGCGTCGGATGCAGGGGTGTAAAGCACGCTGCCACTGGACTCTAGAGCAGGGGAGACGTGTTCTCTGGAGTGACCAATCACGCTTCTCTCTGTCTGGCAATCCGATGGACATGTCTGGGTTTGGCGGTTGCCAGGAGAATGGTACTTGCCTGACTGCATTGTGCCAAGTGTAAAGTTTGGTGGAGGGGGGGATTATGGTGTGGGGTTGTTTTTCAGGGGTTGTGCTTGGCCCCCTAGTTCCAGTGAAGGGAACTCTTAAGGCGTCAGCGTACAAAGACATTTTGGACAATTTCATGCTCCCAACTTTGTGGGAACAGTTTGGGGATGGCCCCTTCCTGTTCCAACATGACTGCACCCCAGTGCACAAAGCAAGGTCCATAAAGACATGGAGGAGCCAGTTTGGGGTGGAGGAACTTGACTGGCCTGCACAGAGTCCTGACCTCAACCCGATAGAACACCTTTAGGATGAATTAGAGCGGAGACTGTGAGCCAGACCTCCTCCCCCGACATCAGTGCCTGACCTCACAAATGTGCTTCTGGAAGAATGGTCAAACCTTCCCATAGACACCCTCCTAAACCTTGTGGACAGCCTTCCCAGAAGAGTTGAAGCTGTTATAGCTGCAAAGAGCGGGGCCAACTCAAAATTGAACCCTACAGACTAAGACTGGGGAGCCATTAAACTTCATGTGTGTGTAAAGGCAGGCCGACCAATACATTTGGCAATATAGTGTATGTCATATACAGCCCAGTGTATAGCGGTCAGCAGTCAGGAGTATGTCATATACAGCTTCATATAGCAAGTGTAGTGGTCAGCAAATGTCATATACAGCCCAGTGTACAAAGTGCAGTTGCCAGGAGTATGTCATATCTAGCCCAGCATAAAGAGTATAGTTTCTAAGAGTATGTCATATACAGCCCAATGTACAAAGCACAGTGGTCAGGAGTGTCATATACAGCCCAATGTACAGAGCGCAGTGGTCAGGAGTGTCCTATACAGCCCAATGTACAGAGCGCAGTGGTCTGGAGTGTCATATACAGCCCAGATGTACAGATGATAGTTTCTAAGAGTATGTCTTATACAGCCCAATGTACAAAGCACAGTGGTCTGGAGTGTCATATACAGCCCAATGTACAAAGCACAGTGGTCTGGAGTATGTGATATCCAGCCCAGCATACAGAGTATAGTTTCTAAGAGTATGTCATATACAGCCCAATGTACAGAGCACAGTGGTCAGGAGTGTCATATACAGCCCAATGTACAGAGCGCAGTGGTCAGGAGTGTCATATACAGCCCAATGTACAGAAGCGCAGTGGTCAGGAGTGTCATATACAGCCCAATGTACAGAGTACAGTGGTCAGGAGTGTCATATACATCCCAAAGTACAGAGCGCAGTGGTCAGGAGTGTCATATACAGCCCAATGTACAGAGCGCAGTGGTCAGGAGTGTCATATACAGCCCAACGTACAGAGCGCAGTGGTCAGGAGTGTCATATACAGCCCAACGTACAGAGCGCAGTGGTCAGGAGTGCCATATACAACCCAATGTACAGAGAGCAGTGGTCAGGAGTGTCATATACAGCCCAATGTACAGAGCGCAGTGGTCAGGAGTGTCATATACAGCCCAATGTACAGAGCGCAGTGGTCAGGAGTGTCAGGACAGTATATACAGCCCAATGTACAGAGCACAGTGGTCTGGAGTATGTCCTATCCAGCCCAGTATACAGATTATAGTTTGTAAGAGTATGTCATATACAGCCCAATGTACAAAGCACAGTGGTCAGGACTGGAGTGTCATATACAGCCCAATGTACAGAGTGCAGTGGTCAGGAGTGTCATATACAGCCCAATGTACAGAGCGCAGTGGTCAGGAGTGTCATATACAGCCCAATGTACAGAGCGCAGTGGTCAGGAGTGTCATATACAGCCCAATGTACAGAGTGCAGTGGTCAGGAGTGTCATATACAGCCCAATGTACAGAGCACAGTGGTCTGGAGTATGTCCTATCCAGCCCAGTATACAGATTAGATTATAGTTTTTAAGAGTATGTCATATACAGCCCAATGTACAGAGCGCAGTGGTCAGGAGTGTCATATACAGCCCAATATACAGAGCGCAGTGGTCAGGAGTGTCATATACAGCCCAGCATACAGAGTGCAGTGGTCAGGAGCATGTCACATACAGCCCAAGTACAGAGAGCAGAGGTCAGATTGCCACTCAAAGCTCAGTATACTTATCTCCCCAGCCTGACTGTCCCCGGCTCGCCCCTTTCATTGGATTTCATATCTATCATTCATAGAGGTTCAGCATCCACGTGAGCGTTACCAAGTGTGGACTACATGCAAATGGAACACCGTTCCTCCAGACCGACACCCACCCATCAAAGCATTTTGATATTTGCGCAACTCCTCCCTCAGACCTTCGGACTCTCGGAAAGAGTACTGAGGCAGGTATCCCACCAGCCATGATCTGCCTGAATTAGCACAGAGGCCCAGTGATGATGTCACTGGGTCTAAAATAAGGTATGAAATTAAACAGGAAAGTTTTTTTTTTTTTAAATTCCATCAGAATATTTATAAAGGGCTTAAGAATGATCTAGGGAAGGGGAAATAATGAACTTCAGCATTTTACACTGCAAGACTCGCCGTGCAGAAAACGCTCGTCGTAGAGGAAGGTGGTGTTTTTGGCGCGCCATCATTGCTGTGATGTACTGAGAGCCCGGGAGTATTCTGAAGCCCTCTGCTCTTTTTGTAGATACAGCGATACAGCGGGTGCGTTGTGATGGAGATACTTTAATCGTAATTTGATTTTACGTCCCATTAATGAGCGATTATCATACATTGTCAGCGGTAAGCGATACATTTCCCCGCAGTCACCTGAACAGAACCCGGCACAATTGTTCCAGTGTCTGGAAATGAAGATAAACAGCATTTGTTATTGTTAGATAAGCTGCCTCTGTAATTAGCACCATAAACACCCCCCGCCTCTTACCTCTACCTAATGTAATCAGTCTGATTAGTGGGAACACTTTCCCTTTGTGTAATAAAGTGTTATGGAGAGCAATTACGCAAAGTTTTCCAACTTTCTCAGTGTTCATTACAGATTAGATGTTAATGGGAAGCAGCAAGAAATCTCCAGGGATCTCCCAATGCTGTTCAGGAAACCTCTGTATTTCTGTGCTGAGTTCCCGACTCTGTACACCTGATGTGCACATTATGAGGGGTTCCCACCATCCCTGTGCTGAGTTCCTTTGTCTGTACACCTGATGTGCCCATTATGAGGGGTTCCCATCATCCCTATGCTGAGTTCCGTCTGTACACCTGCTGTGCCCATTATGAGGGGTTCCCACCATCCCTGTGCTAAGTCATGGCTCTCTACATCTGTTGTTCCCATCAAGTGGGGTTCCCACCATCAATGTGCTAAGTCATGGCTCTCTACATCTGGTGTTCCCATTATGAGGGGTTCAGCATCCCTCTGCTAAGTTCCCAGGTCTGTATGCCTGCTGTGCCCATTATGAGGGGTTCCCACCATCCCTGTGCTGAGTTCCCAGCTCTGTACACCTGATGTGCCCATTATGAGGGGTTCCCACCATCCCTGTACTAAGTCATGACTCTCGACATCTGGTGTTCCCATCGAGGGGTTCCCACCATCAATGTGCTAAGTCATGGCCAGGGGCGGACTGACCATTTGGAAACTCGGGCACTGCCCGAGGGCCCATGGTCAGTAGGGGGCCCCATGAGATGCCCCTGGTACCTTTTTCATAGGCTTTTTTGAGTTTGGGCAAGGACACAGGGGCCCCATAAGCCCCTATTTCCCGGGGGCCCCATGAGTTGTCAGTCCGCCCCTGGTCATGGCTCTCTACATCTGGTGCTCCCATTATGAGGGGTTCAACATCCATCTGCTAAGTTCCCTGGTCTGTACACCTGATGTGTCCATTATGAGGGGTTCCACCATCCCTGTGCTAAGTCATGGCTCTCTATATCTGGTGTTCCCATCATGAGGGGTTCCCACCATCCATTAAATATGTTCTTGGGTCTACACAACTGCAGTGTCCATTATGAGGGGTTCCCACCATCCCTGTGCTGAGTTCCCGGGTCTGTACGCCTACTGTGTTTGATTGTGAGGGGTTCCCACCATCCCTGTGCTGAGTTCCTGGGTCTATACACCTGTGGTGCCCATTATGAGGGGTTCCCACCATCCCTGTGCTGAGTTCCCAACTCTGTACACCTGATGTGCCCATTATGAGGGGTTTCCACCGTCCCTGTGCTAAGTCATGACTCTCTACATCTGGTGTTCCCATCATGAGGGGTTCAGCATCCCTCTGCTAAGTTCCCAGGTCTGTATGCCTGCTGTGCCCATTATGAGGGGTTCCCACCATGCCTGTGCTAAGGCATGGCTCTCTACATCTGGTGTTCTCATCATGAGGGGTTCCCACCATCCATTAAATACGTTCTTGGGTCTACACAACTGCAGTGTCCATTATGAGGGGTTCCCATCATCCCTGTGCTGAGTTCCCAGGTCTATACACCTGTGGTGCCCATTATGAGGGGTTCCCACCATCCCTGTACTGCGTTCCCAGTTCTAAATACCTGTTGTGCCCATTATGAGGGGTTCCCACCATTCATGAGCTAAGCTCATGGGTCTGTACACCTGCTGTGTCCATTAGGAGGGATTTCCCACCATCCCTATGCTGAGTTTCTGGGTCTGTACACCTGCTGTGCCCAGGGTGGCATTTACCACAAGGCATTTGCCTAGGGTGGCATTTTTCAGGAGGAGCAGCACTGCCTCTTGGAAGAAGGGACAAAAGAAGGGACTCACGCGGCACGGGGACCAGGTGGGTTCTGAGAGATGGTGTGGGTTTCATGACGGCGTATGCACAGCCCGACTCTCGTTCCTGGGGATGTCTGGAGCTGTGAAGGTGAGTGTCTCTCTTTCTCGCCATGGGGGATGGTTGCTGGTGTATGGGGGGCAGTGGTAGTGGAAGGCTCGGGTGGAGGGCAGGGGTGTTGTTGGTTGATGTCAGGCTCTTTCTGAGAAGGGGTTGGCAATTTTTGTGTTGCCTAGGGCAGCACAAAACCTGAATACACCACTGGCTGTGCCCATTATGAGGGGTTTCCCACCACCCCTGTGCTGAGTTCCCAGGTCTGTACACCTGCTATGCCCATTATGAGGGGTTCCCACCATCCCCGTGCTGAGTTCCCAGGTCTGTACACATGCCATGCCCATTATGAGGGGTTCCCACAATCCCTGCGCTGAGTTCCAGGGTCTGTACACCTGACTGTGCCCTTTATGAGGGGTTCCCACCATCCCTGCGCTGAGTTCCAGGGTCTGTACACCTGCTGTGCCCATTATGAGGGGTTCCCACCATCCCTGCGCTGAGTTCCTGGGTCTGTACACCTGATGTACCCATTATGAGGGGTTCCCACCATCCCTATGCTGAGTTCCTGGGTCTGTACACCTGATGTACCCATTATGAGGGGTTCCCACCATCCCTATGCTGAGTTCCTGGGTCTGTACACCTGATGTACCCATTATGAGGGGTTCCCACCATCCCTGTGCTGAGTTCCTGGGTCTGTACACCTGATGTACCCATTATGAGGGGTTCCCACCATCCCTATGCTGAGTTCCTGGGTCTGTACACCTGATGTACCCATTATGAGGGGTTCCCACCATCCCTGTGCTGAGTTCCTGGGTCTGTACACCTGATGTACCCATTATGAGGGGTTCCCACCATCCCTATGCTGAGTTCCTGGGTCTGTACACCCGCTGTGCCCATTATGAGGGGTTCCCGCCAGCCCTGCACTTAGTGTCCCCTGACAATACTCGCACATTTTCCAACTTCTCCTCCTGTAAGTTCTTCACATATATAAACTGTAACTAATTTTAAAAATATTTCAGTGCCACTAGAGGTTCAGTACAAGGACCGCCAAGCATATTACTATGCTAACCTCAATTGTTCCTGGCAAAATTTCCATATTTGAATAAAAAACATCAATGCCTTATTACTAAACTACAAGTATCACCCCTCACATGTAATCCCCCTACACACAGAACACATCACAGCACTAGGGTTATTGGATCCAATCCCAACAATGACACCACCTGCCTGGAGTTTGCATGTTCTCCCTGTGCCTGCATGGGTTTCCTCCGGGTACTCTGGTTTCCTCCCACACTCTAAAGACATGCTGATAGGTTAAATGGATCCTGTCTAAATTGTCCCTAGCATGTGTATGTATGAATGGGAGTTAGGGACCTTAGAGTGTACACCCCTTGAAGGCAGGGACTGATGGAAATATATATATATATATATATATATATATATATATATATATATATATACAGTATATGTACCGTAAAGCATTGAGTGAATTGATGGCGCTACCCATATGGAAGAAAAATATATTTGAATTATAGTTTAAAAAAATATTCTCAAATATACTGACATATATTGGAAATGCTACAATGTTGGTCATATTCAATATATTTCAAGATATATATATATATATATATATGCTGCTTGTTGAAATGTGTTTTTGTTACAAAATATATGAAAAATATTTTTTTTAAATACATTTTCAAATATACTGTATGTCTTTAAAAATACAAATCTACATTTTTGGAATGCATTTACAAATATATGTAAAAATATATGTTAAAATGACTTTTTTATATGCTAAAAAAAAAAAATCTGAAGAATATATTTAAAAAAAAATATATTTTTAAAAACATCTTTCATATATTTTTTAATATATAAAAAACACATTTCAACATGCAGTGTATGTGTGTGTATATATATATATATATATATATATATATAATATATATATATATATATATACATATATATATATGTTGAATATGGCCAAAATTTTAGTTTTTCAAATATATGTCAATATATTTGGGAAGAATATTTTTGAAATATTTTTCTGAAAAATATTTTCATATATTTTGTAACATATAAAAACGCATTTCAACATGCTTTTTGTGTATGTATGTATATATATATATATATATATATATATATATATATATATATATATATTTATTGAAATATATTGAATATGTCCAAAATTTTAGTATTTCAAATATATGTCAATATATTTGGGAAGAAATTTTTTGAAATATTTTTATGAAAAATATTTTCAAATATATTTCAACATGCTGTTTGTATATATATATATATTTATTTATTGAAATATATTTTGAAATATATTGAATATGTCCAAAATTGTAGTATTTCAAATATATGTCAATATATTTGGGAATTTCAATTATATTTCAAATATATTTCTCTTCTATGTGGGTATATAGGTACCTGTAATAAATAAATGTCTGTTTTTTATGTGTCATTTATTCAAGTATATTGCCTTTAGCTGTGGACACTATTTGAATCAAAATGTAATGTTTGCCAGTTCAAATATATAATAAAAAAGTCAACAATTTCCTTGGAGAAGGTGCAAGGGTAGTACATGAGTTGGGTATTCATACAACTTTACCCTTATGGTGGTTCTGTAATTCTGCCTGATATTTGTAGTTCACCAGTAAACTGTATTGATCGCGGTGATGCATATTTAGCAATGGTTCTGCTTGCTTCAGCATTTTTCGCTCAATGTTTGCATTAATGAGGCTTTTATGCAGCTGCACACACTGCAGATTAATACACAATGCAGCCCCTGAATGTATTCCGAACAGACGAGGAGGAGAAGTGACATTTGCATGTTCAGCTTGCAAAGTTGTTTTTTTTTTTTTTTTTCTTTTTTACTTTGGAAGGGGATTTTCACTTACCTCTCTGAAAGTGAAAATTCCCTTGCAAAGTGAAAATTCACCATGCTAATCAAACAGACCAAGCTCTTCTAGTACATTGACCCTGCTGTAGCTTTATATTTAGAATAGTCAGGTTGACCCCCAATTGCGGGCATTAATGTCCCAATGCGGGGCTGTATGGGGTGAGAATTCCTGATACCCTGATGTGTGATCGCCCCTTGGAGTGCTTGCTGTTGGGGGGAGGAAAGGTTGTGGTGGAGGCAGGGCAAGGACAAGGTGAGGGCAGGAGGGGCAGCTGCCCTGGGCACTGTGGTATCATGTGAGGGGGGGGAATACCACGAGGAGATTGGGGGTAGGGGATTTGTGTTGGGAGGGGGAATTTGGGGGGAAGCAGGGGGTAAGAATCATTCTAGGAGGGGAGATTAGGGGAGATGTGCTAGGAGTGGTGAACTGGGGGGATTTGTGTTGGGAGGGGGGGACGGGGGAAGAGGATTTGTGCTAGCAGAAGGGATTTAGCGGGGGTGGGGGTTATGCTAAAAAAGTTAATAGGGGGGGTGATTTGTGCTTGGAGAGAATTTTCTTTTTTTTTTGGGGGGGGGGAATTTATGCTAGGATGTGGGATTGAAGGAATTTAAGGTGGGAGGGGATATTTGGAGGGGGGGGGGAGGACTTGTGATAGGAGTTGACATTTTTGGGGGAGGGATTTTTGCGAGGATGGGGGATTGAGAAAATATAGCGGGAGGGGAGATTTGGAGTGGGGGAGAGGACTTGTGCTATGAGTTGAAATTTTTTTTGGTGGGAGGGATTTGTGCTAGAATGGGGTATTGAGGTAATTTATGGTGGGAGGGGGGATTTGGGGGAGAGGACTCGTGCTAGGGGTTAACATTTTTTGGGAGAGGGATTTGTGCGAGGATGGGGGATTGAAGGAATTTATGGTGTGGGGGGGATTCGGAGTGGGGGGAGAGGACATGTGCTAGGGGTTGACATTTTTGGGGGAAGGGATTTGTGCGAGGATGGGGGATTGAGGGAATTTATGGTGGGAGTGGGGATTTGGAGTGGAGGGAGAGGACTTGTGCTAGGAGTTGAATTTTTTTTGGGGAGGGATTTGTGCAAGGATGAGGGATTGAGAGAATT